TGTAATTGCCAACAAGGGTTTTTGCCACCAAGTACTAAGTCATGTTTTGCAGAGGGGTCAAATACTTATTTCCCTCATTAAAATGCAAATCAATTTATAACATTTTTGACATGCGTTTTTCTGGATTTCGTTATTCTGTCTCTCAATGTTCAAGTAAACCTACCATTAAAATTATAGACTGATCATTTATTTGTCAGTGGGCAAACGTACAGCAGGGGATCAAATACTTTTTTCCCTCACTGTATCTGAGAGAAGTGCACCTCCCATGCATTGAGGCAGAGATAGGCCTGCTGATAGGAACTAATGCACACAAAGCAATGGAACCATGGAAGGTAATAAATAGTGAAGGTGATGGACCCTACGCAATCAAGACCACTCTTGACTGGGTCGTGAACGGACCTATGAGAACAGGAGATGCCAATGGAAAATGGCAACGTTTCACAGCAAACTGTATCTCCATCTCAAACATTGAAGAACTGTTAGTCCAACAATGCAACACATACTTCTCAGAACGCAGTTGCGAGGACAAACCAAGAGATGTCGCAAGACGATCATCAGATTCATGCAATCTGTGACAAGGTCAGGTGAGCTGGTCGATGGACACTATACCACTGGTTTGCCATTGAGAAGTGCGAAGATAGAAATGCTGAACAACCGCTGCATTGCAAGGCAGCGCATCAGCAGTCTCAAGAGAAGGCCGAGCACGAACCCAGATTTCCATGAGGACCACAAAGGCTTCATGAGAGACATTGCAAAGGGCTTTGCTGTGAAAGTTCCTAAAAGACAGCTGGAACGAGAAGACGGAAGAGTGTGGTGTATTCCTCATCATGGAGAGTAACATGTGGGCTTTTGCGACCAATATTATTATTTGATACACTAGTAAAGAATACAGGTTTACCAAAAGATATTCAGAAACTTGCTTACCATTGTTTAAATAACACTTCTTATGGAGAGGGGATTTCTTTAAACAAAAGGAAGGAGCAGCAGTGGGCTCTCCTTTATCTCCTGCTGTAGCAAATCTGTACATGGAAAACTTTGAAATAAGGGCACTTGCCTCGAGCACATTAAAACCATCTTTTTGGGTTAGTACAATACCCCCCCCCCGCCTCAAATCACTGCACCTGAATGAGTTAAATGATGACGTCACCCTGCTGCTCTATTTAAGACCGGGAGCAAGTGAGGGCTTTACCATTCTGGCGAATTGCCCAATGATGCTGGATGTAATTACCAGCGAAACGTCGTACTCAAACTGTAAATGTTGTGGATTCACTCTTCAACACACCAGTGGGCTAAAGTAGTGAACTATTTGTCTTTTGTCAACGTGACACTTTTTTGCTGATTGGCCGTGTCGGGTGGTAGAGGGTTACGACATTTATAAATAACGCGATCTAACCCAAAAAACTTTATTATGAATGAGGTGTACCACCCGAAGAAAAAGAAGATCCGTATAGTCTTCGACTGCACTGCAACATACCAAGGAACCTCATTGAATGAGCATTTTCTCCAAAGACCCAGTCTCGCCATCACTCTCAATGGTGTGTTGACCAGATTTGGAAAGGAACTTTGGGGTATGATGGCGGACATCGAGTGGTGGCCCGATGGCGACCTGAGTCAAGCCACAGAGGAGTATAGAATGACTGTGCACCTGTTTGGAGCCACGTCATCACCCAGCTGTGCATCTTATGCACTAAGAAGAACAGCCGAAGATGGAAGAACCGAGTCAACACCAGAGGCGGTTGACAGTACGCAGAAACTTCTACAACAACGACTGCTTGAAGCCTGTGTCATCTGAAGACCGTGCTGTCACCCTGTCAAGAGATATCCGAACGTTGTGTTCTATTGAGGGATTCAACTTGACAAAGTGGGTAAGCAACAGCAGAGTTGTCATACCGTCTATCACAGAAGAAGAAAAAGCCATAAAGGTGGATAAGATGCTCGGACAAGAACATCAAGTGCCGCTCGAAGAGTCTACCTTTTGGACGGATAGCACTAAAGTGCTGAAGTACATAGAGAATGAAACCACTCGTTTCAAGACCTTTGAGGCAAACAGGATAGCTACAATCCGTGAGGCCATAGAACCGACCCATTGGAAGTATTTCAATACCTTAGTGAACCCAGCAGATCATGTTTCAAGAGGTTTGAAAGCTAAAAACTTTATCAAAAGTGAAAAATGGATTCAGGGACCCAAATTCCTGTGGATGGCTCCAAGTGAATGGGACGAACGACCAATTCGAATGAGTCAAAACTCAGATGATGATGAGATCAAGAAGTGGGTAACAGTCAATCTCCTCAGTATCAAAAGAGAACTTTAATACAGTGAACAGACTTGTCAATCTATACTCAAGTTGGTATCATCTGAAGAGAGCAGTGGCATGGTTTTTCCAATTGAAAGCGATTCTGCTGCATTTAAGGAATAAAATGAAAGAGTATCCAGCTACAATAAGTCAGGCTGAAAGTAACCCCGAGAGGCAGAAGATACTTCTTAAGCAGTGCACGCAGAAACTCAAAGCAACACTGCAAAAGGAACTGCTTACAGTGGAAAATTTGACCCAGGCTGAGATCGATCTAATCCACTTCAGCCAGAAGAATTATCAAGACCATGCCAGACTCCAACAGTTCAGTCTGTTGTGTGTGTTAAAACGAAGTTCAGCACACTAGAGCGACCTTTAAAAAAGCTCTATCTGTTACAAGAAGCACCATGAAAGTATATGGATAAGATAAAGAGAAGGCTCAAGAAAGCCAATAAGTTGCAGAAATACAAGAAATTATTATTGTTATAAGTATAGATTATTATTTAGAGTTTGTGGCTCTTAAGGTTAAAGTTAAAGAGTAATTGGTATGCTCCCTGCCTAGCCAATTAGGGGCTGGTAATGTAAGAGCCATAAGACAGAAAGTGAGTGTATTATTTCTGTATGTAGATTTTATGTACATCCGTCATACATTTGTTGACAGACTGGTTATATTTGATTTGGAATATCCCAAATGTGTAAAAACCCCCCTGTGGTTAGACGCGCCATTGGTTGAACTCATGACGTCACTTCCGGTTTTTACAGTATAAACGGCAGGGGGGGGGGGCTATGAGAAGAGCCGATGGGGAGCGAGTGGTTACAGTCTTTTGACTGTGCGACAGGATGATACAGTACTTGCGACGAAGTGATACAGTACGTGAACAGGCGAAGATATAACTTTATAAAACGCTCGTTTTTGTGCAACTAAGAATAAAGAAACATTTCGATTTAAAGCTTTCGTGACTGCAATGATTCATCTTCTTTGGTTCTTTCGGTAAAGTCACGTAGAATGAGAATAAAATAATAAATTGATAAAAGGTCGTGATCTGAACGTGGCTCTTTCACTCCAGCGCTGTCCTACCAGACAGTCTCGTCCCTTCACCTGATGAAGGCCGCTTGTGTTGTGGCCAAAACGTCGTGAGAATATTATTGTGTTATTTTATTTTATCAATTTATTTTATTCTCATTCTACGTGACTTTACCGAAAGAACCAAAGGAGAATAAAGAAACAGTTTGATTTAAGACACCTCAAACACGCGTCAGACTTTTTGCTCCCACAAGTTAAGGCGTAGCTTATTTTCTGGTACAAGAAAGCTGCGCCTACAGGCATCACTTATGAGCCAATCACCAGAGGGAAGGGGGTTAATGTGTTACGCCGTTTTTGGGTTCAAAAATCGCAATACTATCGAGGGACACCTCTACTTATGCACATTCGATGTATTAACTTTCAAAGATACGAACAAACCTGTCCGTATATTCAGTTGCCTGTTCGGACTTAGAGTTGCAAGTTCAACTACTGTACAATAGATGGCGGTGGTGGCATCTACATCTGCAGAACATGAAGAACCAGTGGCATCTACATCTGTTCCCCGTGTTTAGTGCACATGCCGTATATGTTTGAATCCTACGGACACATAGACTTACAAACAGACCTCTGGAACTAACTCGTTCGTAAGTAGAGGAGTCCCTGTACCTGTTATTGGTTGCTCACAGTTAATCTCCATCGACGTATGGTGACCTGTATACGCATGAAATGAAACAGTGTATTGATAATACGCTCCCAAGCAGCACTAAGTCTGTAGCTATCAGAACGGTAAATAAATTGTTTTCTCAATTTAAATAGATTCTCTAATTAGTCTTGGTCAGTAGTAACTATTTCTGCATAAAACCTCAATATCAATTGAGTGTCCTTGTTGGCACGTGTGTTCTGCAACTGCCGACAGTTGTGTTTGGAAGTATTATTTATTTCTTTGGTGTTTTTTTAGTCTCATGCTGATCATTCTTCCCCTATCGCCAACATAGCATTTGCCACAGGAGAAATGAATCTGGTAGATACCTTCTACTGATAGCTTCAGAAAACACTGTAAGAACAATCTCAAACTTGCCAGTGCCATAGTTATATCACAATGAAATGAAATGAAACATTTAACACATAAGCAAAGAAGGCTGCAAAGTTGGGCTTCAGATCAATATAACCATGAGGGGCAGTGACGCGGTGGCCCAGTGGTGACGCGTTCGCCGCTCGTTGCAGAGGTTCGCGGTTCGACCCGAGCAGGCCACCCTAGTTAATACGGCAGGGGTATGAACCCGAAAATACGATGTGGCGGCTGTGGTTCACTGTGGCTATTAAAGATCCCCAATGTCATTCAAAACGAGTAGGCCATTGTGTGCTGGTATTGTTGGTCCAGATTTTCCAATTAAAATAAATCCTGTAAATGACTCAATGGGATTACGCATAGCAATCATGGCCTCCTATTGGCAGACTATTGCCTGATTAAAGGCCAGGTGCAAAATCACCTGTGACCACAGGGGAAGCTGCCACTGAGGGTGCCCTCATATGTTTGAGATAAAATGTTATGTAAGTCACTTATCGCGTATAAAGTGCTGTGACATGACCCAGCATTAAGCGAACTATGTCAAAATCAAGAATAATTGTTCTATTTATCTTAATGTGTATGTGTATATGAGCGCTGTAATATTCCATCTGTCCAGGAGTACACGGTGGATGTGTTTTTCCGTCAAAGCTGGAGGGACTTACGACTCAAATTCAACGGGTCCATGAGGATTCTGCCTGTGAACAATATGATGGTGTCTCACCTATGGACGCCAGACACATTCTTCTACAACAGCAAGAAGTCCGTGGCACACAACATCACCACTCCCAACAAACTCCTGAGGATCTGCGATGACGGATCTCTGCTGTACACCATGCGGTAAGCATTGTGCAGCTCCGCTCATGTATCACACCTCAGCCACACGTAACATTTGCCAGCGGACGCCTAATATGATGCATCGCAAGCTAAGCACAGTAGCCACTGTGATGTGGATTTTGTGATAACTCCACTTGCAACTGTTTGACGAATGTCTTTGGCTGTTTACATATGAGTGCAATAATCACCCTACATCTATTCAGATGTTTCTGTCAATTAGATGATGTTGCAGCACACGGGAATCACAACCTCATTCACTGTTTTGTACAAATGTTAATGTGAAAAGCCTGAAAACTGACATGGAAAGTAATTTAACCATGAATCCAAAACTGCACGTCAGTGATGTCTTTGCGAAGGTTTTTTACTTGTATATTATGTGCAATATTCAAGTTGATTTTGTTTAACTAGGTGATACCTCAAGAGACCACTGTTAATGTACACTGTTCTCTTAGGCTGACTATTAATGCAGAGTGCCCGATGATATTGGAGGATTTCCCGATGGACACGCACGCCTGCCCACTCAAGTTTGGGAGCTGTGAGTATGTGGAGACACATACACTTTAACAGCATGCAGATAATTTGCCTCCTCATGCTTTAAATATGCGTTATATATTTTTGGCGGCAGAATGACGTAGTGCCTCACAACAAGAGTATATGGATTTAAAGCTTTCGTGACTGCAGGGATTCATATTCTTGGTTCTTTCTGTGAAGTCACGTAGAAGGGAAACAATAAAATAAAAATATAAAACAATAAAATTATCACGACGTTTCGACTGCAACACAAGCAATCATCATCAGGTTGATTGCTTGTGTTGCAGTCGAAGCGTCATGAGAATTGTATTGTTTTATATTTTTATTTAATTGTTTCCCTTCTACGTGACTTTACCGAAAGAACCAAGAATAAGAGTATATGGGTTCACTTCCCATCTTAGGCTCTTTTAAATGCAGAGTTTATATCTTCTGCCCCTGTTCTGCATGGGTTTCTGTGTTCTCTGGTGTCCTTCCATAGCTAAAAACACTATAAAATATAACTTGTATTGATCAAACGACATCCAAATGCTGAAAAACTACTGTACCATGCAAATGACTCAGTTGGGATTACGCACGACATCACTCCCAACTGCAAAAACTTTGCAGGCTCCTCTTTAAAAATCATCTTGAGACTCAGAGAGACTTCCTTGGTAAACAAGCAAAATATTTCGATGAAAGTAAACCTTTACGTGAACCACAGTCGTAGTGTTCATGCAGCAAACCAGCTGGGGCCTGGGTTTGCGGAAAAACGAATGTGTGTGGCCATTGCTGTGGTTTGGTACACGGTGATTCTAGATTTAAAGCTTTCGTGACTGCAAGGATCCATACTCTTTGGTTGTATTCGGTAAAGTCACGTAGGTAAAAAATAAAACAACAAAAATCACGACGTTTCGGCCACAACACAAGCGGCCTTCATCAGGTGAAGGGATCAGGCTGTCTCGAGGACAGCGCTGGAGTGAAACACAGCCACGCTCAGACCGCGGACCTTTAAGCTGTGTGCGAGGAAACAAGGTGCCTTGACAAAGGAATTAGCATAAAATTAGCATTTGATTGGCTGACTTAGCATAGAGGTGGTGTACGTGCGGGTGCACTTGCCGTTTGGCGCGGGGGGGGGGAGGGGGAGTTTACCTATTGATGGTGTGAAAAGGGAATTTTTAAGAGCTGCGAAAGTTTGGGGTACCACTACTTGAAAAATATACTGTACCATTGAAAATTAGTTTAATGTTTAGTTCGATTTACAACATCTTTCCAATGGTTGCTTAATTTGACACCATCTTCTCGGTTGAAATTGTGTCTGTGTTTGTAGATCTGAATTGCCTCGTGAACAGATCTCTGATAAAAACCCGTGGGTTTGCAAAGAACCTTGGTATCGGAGAAAATTATATCGTGATCACCCACAGCATTGTAACAGTGATCAGCTACGGCAGAATAATTTGTTTTGCCATGTTTCAAATCTGATGTGTGCTCGCGAATTCGGTCAGAGACATGTCGCTTTGTCTCCCCGATAAAGCAATCACCGCAGGTACAACTCGATTTGTAAACCCCGGGGTATTCTAAGTCAGGAATGACATCCTTCACGGATGGGATCAGATCATGAATTTTGTGTACTGTATTGAACCGGACCTGGATCTTGTGTTTGTTTAGAATTTTGGAAATCTTTTTAGTAACGCCTGCTATATATGGTAGTGTGATGGTTTTGACCGGAGTATCAAGTGGTTGTTTCTGTATGGAGGGAGAAACAGCTTGGCGGATGGTACGGTCAGAGTATCCATTCCTTTTGAGGGCCAGGTGTACATGTTTTAATTCACTGGTCAGGTGGTGTTGGTCCGAAATGCAATGAGCCCTATGGTATAAAGTTTTGATGAGATAATTCTTTTGGGCTGGGTGGTGGTGGGAATCAGGTTTCAAGTAGGAATCTGTGTGGGTGGGTTTCCTGTGGACAGAATGCCCCAATGAGCCATCAGGTCTAACCTGATTTCTAAATTCAACCACCTATCAAAGAAGAACCCAGTTCCACATATAACAAAACTAGATGTTAACAAAATCGTCATTAATCAGAGTAGCACCCCGATTTCGGACAATCTGAAAACAGTACTGGCTAGGGGACTGAATTTTGCTGTCACCCCAAAACACATACTAGTAGATGATATCATCTCTCAGGTCGATGTAGCCCTCAAAGGCGTAGGACACATCCAAGCAGACGTTGCGAGAGCTGAAATAGCCACTATTCTTAAGAATGCTAAGAAACCCATTAGTAACATCAGCAAAAATTGACGCTCTGAACTCGCGAATTTAAAAAACAGAAGTGATATAGTCATCCTCTCAGCCGATAAAGGCAACGCTACTGTAATTATGGATAAAGATTCATACAACAAAATCCAGAATCTGCTCAACGATGGAAGTTACTCAAAAATAAAAAATGACCCTACCAATAGCCTAGCGATAAAAACCAACAAGATCATCACAAGTTCGACCTCCCTAATCGACCCAACTAAACGTCCCTCCCTAAAACCTTCTGCTGCAAGACCCCCTAGATTCTATGGTCTTCCCAAGATTCATAAAGAAGGCACCCCACTACGACCCATCGTATCCACGATCAACTCCCCTACCTATAGACTAGCCCGTTTTCTGTCAGATACCTTGCTGCCTTTCACTGGCAAGACCGCCTCAGCAGTACTTAACTCAGCCCAATTGGTCTCTATGCTCAAAGACGTACTGTCCCCTGACGATATCCTTGTCAGCTTTGATGTGGTCTCTTTGTTCACCAAGGTCCCAGTACCTGATACCATTGAAATAATTGAAAATTTGGTCCAACATGGACTAGACTCCGACACACCTGCACTGAATTTTGATTTAAAGCTTTCGTGACTGCAGTAATTCATATTCTTAGCTCTTTCGGTAAAGTCACGTTGAAGGGAAACAATAAAATATATATAAAACAATAACAAATATTTTATTATTTTATTGTTTCCCTTCAACGTGACTTTACTGAAAGAGCTAAGAATACACCTGCACTGGTTAGGCACCGCCTCAACAATACCTATTTTACTTGGAATGGATCCTTCTACAAACAAAATGAGGGTACCCCCATGGGATCCCCCTTGTCACCAGTGATAGCCAATATTTTCATGGCGAAATTTGAATCAGACGCCATCCAGACTTCCACCCTCAGACCTTCCCTGTGGAAGAGATATGTGGATGACACTTTTGTCATTTGGCCACATGGCCTCCCAGCTCTGAACCTTTTCCTACACCACATCAATTCCAGACATCCCGCCATCAAATTCACCATGGAAGTGGAGAAAGATGGCAAGCTACCATTCTTAGATGTTCTGTTTGAGAGGAGACCTGATGGCTCATTGGGGCATTCTGTCTACAGGAAACCCACCCACACAGATTCCTACTTGAAACCTGATTCCCACCACCACCCAGCCCAAAATAATTCTCTCATCAAAACTTTTTACCATAGGGCTCATTGCATTTCGGACCAACACCATCTGACCAGTGGATTAAAACATGTACATCTGGCCCTCAAAAGGAATGGATACTCTGACCGTACCATCCGCCAAGCTGTTTCTCCCTCCATACAGAAACAACCACTTGATACTCCGGTCAAAACCATCACACTACCATATATATCAGGCGTTACTAAAAAGATTTCCAAAATTCTAAACAAACACAAGATCCAGGTCCGGTTCAATACAGTACACAAAATTCGTGATCCGATCCCATCCGTGGAGGATGTCATTCCTGACTTACAGTACCCTGGGGTTTACAAATTGAGTTGTACCTTCGGTGATTGCTATATCGGGGAGACAAAGCGACATGTCTCTGACGGAATTCGCGAGCACAAATCAGATTTGAAACACGGCAAAATGAATTCTTCTGCCGTAGCTGATCACTGTTACAACACTGTGGGTGATCACGATATAATTTTCTCCGATACCAAGGTTCTTTGCAAACCCACGGGTTTTTATCAGAGATTTGTTCACGAGGCAATTCAGATCTACAAACACAGACACAATTTCAACCGAGAAGATGGTTTCAAATTAAGCAACCATTGGAAAGATGTTCTAAATCGAACTAAACATTAAACTAATTTTCAATGGTACAGTATATTTTTCAAGTAGTGGTACCCCAAACTTTTGCAGCTCTTAAAAATTCCCTTTTCACACCATCAATAGGTAAACTCCCCCCCCCCCCCCCCCCCGCCCCACGGCAAGTGCACCCGCACGTACACCACCTCTATGCTAAGTCGGCCAATCAAATGCTAATTTTTATGCTAATTCCTTTGTCAAGGCACCTTGTTTCCTCGCACACAGCTTAAAGGTCCGCGGTCTGAGCGTGGCTGTGTTTCACTCCAGCGCTGTCCTCGAGACAGCCTGATTCCTTCACCTGATGAAGGCCGCTTGTGTTGTGGCCGAAACGTCGTGATTTTTGTTGTTTTATTTTTTACCTACGTGACTTTACCGAATACAACCAAAGAGTTTGGTACACAGTGCTGTAAACCCAGTAACCCGAGGTTGAATCCTGCTCACAGCCAACATTCGTGACGAATATCTGAACTGGCCCTGGGCCTCACCGAGGTCGACTCAGCCTTACAGTACCTGATGCGGTGTGTAAAGAACACCATTGGACGAGACTAAGGTGGCCAGCCATGGAGCTGACCTCCCAACCCCCTTGTGTGCCGCTAACAGCGCTTGCCCCAACAGTCTGTTAAAGAATGGGCCCTTTTTGCCAGTATCAAAGTATGAAAAAATAAGAATACTTTTAGCCTTTCTGGCAATAAAACAGGTGTTAAGATGTTCAAACACCAAATATGAATGTTTTTCAAGGAATCAAGTTTGCATTAACCACACGTACTTGTTGTGAACATGCAAACAAACATGCTCTGATAATATATGCAGTCTTTGAAACTGATTGGTCGACAGCAGAGACAGCCTTCTTTAGGTCCTAGACCAGTGTCAGAACAGAGAATGCCAAAAGGCGAATAGTACATAGACAATGCAGTATCAGGAGAATTTATACCTCGGGTGAGCAGCTACAAAATGGGACATTTTTGCCAGTATCAAAGTATGAAAAAATAAGAATAAGTTGTTTCATTTCTGGTGAGACTAGGACCGAAAGAAGGCTGCTGTGTCTGATGTGTTAAAGGTTATACGGAGAATCTTTTTTTATTTGTGCAGATGCATACACTAGCTCCGAAGTATTCTACACGTGGACGCACGGCCCCGCCAACTCTGTAATCGTGGCAGAGGATGGATCTCGACTCAACCAGTACAACCTGATCAACCACACGGTGGGCAGCGAGCTCAGCCGCTCCAGCACCGGTGAGCTCCGGTTGTGCCTCTGTCACACGGGCTTCATTTATCTCATAAACACAGTCGCTGAGCACAGGCCCAAAATGTCAAGCGGCCAGCCACAAACAGCATGTCCAGAGCTGTAAAAGATGAGACTGAATACATATTCTTGGTTCTTTCAGTAAAGTCACGTAGAAGGGAAAGAATAAAATAATAAAAATATAAAACAATTGTTTTATATTTTATTATTTTTATTTTTTATTTTATTGTTTCCCTTCTACGTGACTTTACCGAAAGAACCAAGAATATGAATCCCTGCAGTCACGAAAGCTTTAAATCAAAATTTAAGACTGAATGCGTTTCTTAAATTGAGCAAGGTTATTAAAAGAGCTTGGAAAAAGAGATGATGGGAGGGAATTCCACAGTGGAGCGCTGTGAGGGAAGAAGCAAAAAGAGAAGTGAAGTGACCGCCCTCCTCCACACTGTCCCGCGGATGCCCTGTGCCTCCCCTTCCTGGTTTAGCCACTCTGGGCTCTAGCTCCCTGATTTGCTACCGACAGGGGAGCAGTCGTACGGGATTCGCCAGCACCAATCACGTGACGCCGACTCCCCTTTCACCGCTGCCCACCTCCCTCAAATGCCCGTTGACTATCAATCAAATTGTGAATTACTGTTTAACACGTAGGCTTTCACGACCAATAACATCCATAATAGAGGTTGTTTGGGTTAGACTGCGTAAATATATAAATGTATCATTAAAAGCCGCCACCACCAGACACAGCCCAGTAGTAAGGGTTGTCACGGAATAAGAACATGCCAATTCGTCACCAATACAGGACACCGTTGTGTTGGAGAGCCAAGCCACAACATTTACAATCTGAGTATGACGTTTCGCCAGTAATTACAACTAGCTTCATCAGGCAACAGCCAGATTTGTGGAGAAGTCTAACTGTTTCGTTCCTTATATAGAGGGTTAGATGTGGTGACTGCTTCTGCGCTGTTTGGCAATATGGGGGGGGGGAATTACTGAGTCAATGTACATTATGCATGTGCATTATGCGAGCCCTTTGATCTTGTCCTTCCTATCTATTGTGTGTATTAAAATTTCCATACTAACGGTAATCCCTATTGAAGTATGCCGACCTTTATAGGCATGCATTTAAATCATGTATTATTTGATGATTCACTTCCATGCAGCACTAAAGCGGTAGCTATCCGAACGGTTAAAATTATTATGATAATAATAGGTTTCAAACATATACGGCATTTACTCGATGAAGGTACCTACCTTAAAATTAAATGAGACCCAACCAACACCTTGGAACGTAAAACAACGCCAATTGTCGGGGAGGCTGATCCCCGTCTTCCCGCTCATCTTCGACCCACTGCTCTCCGACTCCCCCCCCTTCGCAACGGCCCCTCGAGGCATGATTTTAAAGGGGCTGTACGAACCGTCCCGCGAGGTCGCCGCTGTGCACCCGTCGCACACGCTAACCACGAGCCGCGCGGTGGCGTGCGCACCCACGCGGGTAGAATACCCGCCGGCGTGCGAACACAGGACACTCCAACGAGTAGGCTCACGGGCTTAACGTGCGCGGCGAGCGCGCACACGTGGGTGAAATTACACACCCGTGCGCAAACACAGGAAACCACAGCGAGCAGGCTCACAACACCGTGCACCCCTCTCCGTACTCGCAGAGACAACATGACAAGGTTTAATGTCTACTGGCGATTTATTCTCCGATTAATTGAAGTTAATCTACCCTTGTCAGTGTGGGCCAGCAGGGCAGGTCTAACCTATCTCCCGGCGGTCTAGGACTCAATTTGCCTGGTCTCTCCCTACTCGCTTTCCCTAAGGAATATTCCCCTTTGTCGTACCTCTCTCCTCCACACTTACGATCCGATCTCGAGGTGTAGGAAGTCACGGAAAGGTGAGGCTGCACGTGGCTTTTGCTGGGAACTGGACCTGGCTGCTCAGCGACCCGTCTCACGGACGTTCGAGTAGCAGGGGACGATGACTCCTCCGTCCCTCACTCCAGAAGACCCCGTACAAGAGAGGGATTGCTCCCTGATCTCTATCCCTTTTTATCCCCCTACATCAAAGCCAACGCGCCGCTAACCCGCTGGCCTCTCGTCCAATCCGGAGTCTCGGATTTCCCGCTCTTGGCCAATATAGTCTCCTCTCCGACGCCCGCCCTCCATTGTTTAACCAAGTGCACGGCCGAGGGATCCTCCACCACTACCGCCCCAACACACGTGGTGCCAGGGCGAGGTCCCTGCACACATGGTGCGGAGACGAGGGCCCCCCTTGCCTTCCTGTCGCTCGCTACTCTGCCCCACCCCCCTACCCACCTGCTGACCCGTGTCGAGTGTGGATGCTTTCTACCCGCGGTGGCTTCAGCAGTCCCCGTCGTGACCATGTAATTACTACTCAGGTCACGGCGCCGCGGTGCACACCAGCCTCGGGGGAGGTCGCTCAATTCCCTGGTCGCAGGAAACCGTGAAGTTTTCGTCCCATAAGGGGGCGTCTGGGTGAAAACCTGCTGGCCAAGTGACTTCCCCTCAGGGCTCTATGTGGGGGTGGTGTGTGTGTGTGTGTTCATGTGGGGGGTGGTAGGGGAAGCGCTGTGACGGAAGCCGGGTGGCTTCGTTGCTGCAGCCCCCCCGCCGCAGGTACGGCTCCCATGGAGTGGCTTCGCTGCCGTGGCACCACACAATCATTGCCAAGTCATCAATTCCCAAGCAAGAGCAATAGCTGATCAAACAAAGGGCATCAAAACCACCAAGATTTTATTGGCTACCAAAAATTCACAAACCTGATGTCCCATTAAGACCCATAGTTAGTATAATAGGCTCTGCCACGTACAAATTAGCACAATACGTAACGAAACAAATACAGCCCTACATCGGTAGGACCTGTTCGTTCATCAAAAACTCTGAACATCTCGTAAATATAATGAAAGATATTAAGCTTAACCCTAATGATATTTTCGTAAGTTTTTATGTGACTTCTCTGTTCAAGAGGGTTCCGGTCAACGAGTCAATTAAATTACTCGGCACTCTGGTAACGAACAAAGGTTTCGCCAAAGATAACCCACGGCTAGCTGAACACTGTCTAAAGAACACTTCTTGTGGCAAGGTGACTTCTATAAACAAAAGGAAGGAGCAGCAATGGGCTCTCCTTTGTCTCCTGTGATAGCGAATTTGTACATGGAAGACTTTGAAACAAAAGCAATAGCTTCAAGCAGACTAAAACCACCTGGTTGGTTTAGATATGTGGATGACACATTGGTGGTCTGGCCACATGGCAAAGATACACTGAACGCATTTCTAAATAATTTCAACTCGCAAAACCCATCCATCCAGTGCACCATGGAAGTGGAGGCTGTCAGAACTCTACCATTTCTGGATATTATTCTCAGACGGGGTCAAAATGGTAAAATAACACAGTGTTTACCGAAAGAAAATGCATACTGACGCCTATCTGAATGCAGTCACACCATCACCCCACACAGAAATCTGCTCTTATCAAGACGCTCATTCATCGAGCTAAGAAAGTGTCAGATGGTGACAGTCTGAGAAGTGAAATTCAACATGTTAAAGAAGTGCTGCAAATGAACCGTTACAATGATGCACAAATCAACAGGGCATTGAATGCCAAAACCAAATCAAATAACACAAGCATTGAAACTGCCCAAGTAATTAAAACGATCAAAATACTGTACATTGCGGGAGTAACTGATAAATAAGCCAGATGTTTGGGAAAACAAAATATCCGAGACAGATTTGGCATGGTACATAAAATACAGAAATTAATATCTGGTACAAAAGATGTATTACCGAAGCGATCAACAGAAGGTGTGTACAGGATTAACTGAACGTGTGGGAAATGTTATGTTGGGCAAAAAGGACGAATGATCAGCACGAGACTAAAAAGAACATCAGAGAAATATTACATTCTCCCAAATACAACTGTCAGCAGTAGCAGAATACGTGTGCCAACAAGGACACTCAATTGATTTTGATAATGTTGAAGTTCTGTGCAAAACTAGCTACTACTGGCCAAGACTAATTAGATAATCTATCGAAATTGAAAGAAATAAAAATAATTTTAACCGTTCGGATAGCAACCGCCTTAGTGCTGCGTGGAAGCGAATCATCGAATAATACCTTATTTAAATGCATGCCTATAAACGGTAGCATACTTCAATAGGGATTACCGAAGGTACTGCTATTTTAATAATACTCATTGGTTCTTTCGGTAAAGTCTACCTACGTGACTTTACTGAAAGAACTAAAGAGTATGGATTCCTGCAGTCTAGGAAGCTTCAAATCAAGATTATTTTAATACACAATAGACAGGAAGGACAAGATCAATGGGCTCGCATAATGCACATACATAATGTACGTTTACTCAGTAATCCCCCTACCCCCACTTTGCGCAAGAGCGCAGAAGCGTGGTCACCTGATAAAGCTAGTTGTAATTACTGGCAAAACGTCGTACTCAGATTGTAAATGTTGTGGCTTGGCTCTCCAACACACCGGTGTGCTGTACTGGTGACGAATTTGCATGTTCTGTTTGTATTATGGATAATATTGGTCACGAAATTACTCCCAGTGAGAATCGGTCATACCCATAGGCTTTGGCGCGGCCATTTACATACTTCTGCTGGGGACCGCCACGTATTTGATGACATTGAACCTCGTACATTAGGAAAACAGACCTCTAACTTGGAGTGACTTGGCCTAAAAACGTTTGTCCGAGGTGTGGGGGAATGGCGGTCCTAGCATTAACAGAGAGAAACAAAGAGTGAGAGAGAGCGGCCCACAAACACCGTGTCTCCCACATTCTGCTTAAACCTCCGGCGTGAACGCAGGGAGCCTTAGCCCTAGATTCCTTTGTCTCTGGCCGTACCGTGTACCCATTTACGTAGCAATTATGGCTATGCACTTAAGTTAATATGCTATAGCTGCACCCCCCAGGGATGCCTGCCCTGCCCACATCGGCAAGTAACCTGCTGGATTCAGGTTTTGCCTCCACACAGCTCCACATACTCCCATACCGCATCAGTCTATCTCTTCTCCAGGCCGTGCCATGCCTATTTAACCCCCTCTATCTGCCAAAACAGAAGCTGCTTGTTTGACTATAACACTCAGTCAATAACATACATACATTAATAATTAATGAGGTGCACTGCCGTTTCTTGTAGTATTCACTCAGATGTTAACAGCTGCCAGTGTTGTGCAAGGGTCCATACTCTTTGGTTCTATTGGGTAAAGTCACGTAGGTGAAAATAAAATAACAAAATCACGACGTTTCGGCCACAACACAAGCGGCCTTCATCAGGTGAAGGGACGAGACTGTCTGGAGGACAGCGCTGGAGTGGAAGAAGCCACGCTTAGATCACGACCTTTAAGCTGTGTGAGAAGAAAAAGACCACGCGCCTTGACAAAGGAATTAGCATATAATTTAGCATTGAAATGGTTTCAAATTAAGCAACCATTGGAAAGATGTTCTAAATCGAACTAAACATTAAACTAATTTCAATGGTACAGTATATTTTTCAAGTAGTGGTACCCCAAACTTTCACAGCTCTTATAAATTCCCCCTTTTCACACCATCAATAGGTAAACTCCCCCCTCCCCCCTTTCCCCCCCCCCCCGCGCCAAACTGCGAGTCCACCGACACGTACACCACCTCTTTCCTAAAATCCGCCAATCAAATGCTAATTTTTATGCTAATTTGTTTGTCAGAACACCTTGTTTGCTCGCACACAGGTCCGATGTCTGAGCGTTGTTGTGTTTCGCTAAATTCTCCTGTTTGATGAGTACTAGGTGCCTCGGTGAATGTATATGCTCTAACTTTAACATAGCTATTTCTGTGACCAGTTACAAGCTAATCACTCAGCTATTTCAATGCTAAATTCGATGCTGATTCCTTTGTCAAGGGGTACCTCTGCGGATGTGTATACTTTAACTTAGCTATTTCAATGAGCCATTTCAATGCTAAATTATATGCTAATTCCTTTGTCAAGGCACTTGGCCTTTTTCTTCTCACACAGCTTAAAGGTCGTGATCTAAGTGTGGCTTCTTCCACTCCAGCGCTAATTCCTTTGTCAAGGGGTACCTCTGCGGATGTGTATACTTTAACTTAGCTATTTCAATGAGCCATTTCAATGCTAAATTATATGCTAATTCCTTTGTCAAGGCGCGTGGTCTTTTTCTTCTCACACAGCTTAAAGGTCGTGATCTAAGCGTGGCTTCTTCCACTCTAGCGCTGTCCTCCAGACAGTCTCGTCCCTTCACCTGATGAAGGCCACTTGTGTTGTGGCCGAAACGTCGTGATTTTTTGTTATTTTATTTTCACCTACGTGACTTTACCCAATAGAACCAAAGAGTATGGATCCTAGCAGTCACGAAAGCTTTAAATCTAGAATTGTGCAAGGGTGTTGTAATTAAAGATAAGTTGACACTCGTGGCCTGTATAGAGAGTGTCTGGGAGATGGTTTCATGTTGAGGCGGCTCTGTGTCTGAGCGAGAGTGCACCTGTTCGTGATTTTTATTCCAGATACGATTAAACAGCATTCATTTTTTGCCAAGCACTGGAATTTCAAACAACACTCTTGATTTACATGTATGTTTGTGCTTTCTCTTGTGTGTGCTCCCTCATTACGAGAAGTGTTAGTGCACTGTGCTACAAACCCGTGGCTTGAGTTTGATTCTCACTCATGGCCAACATCAGTGACAAATATTTCAATTGGTCCTGGGCCTGCACTATGTGGACTCAGCCTTAAACGAGCACCTGGTGTGGTGGGTAAATATCGCCACTAGGGAGACAAGATGGCTGGTCATGGTTTTGGCCACGCCACTCCCTTGTGCGCCATGCCAGCCATAATTGGTGCTCGCTAATAGCATTTGCCCCATCAGTCTGTATTGTTATCTTTGTGTTTGTCCCACATGCACTTGTGGTTGCAGGAGTGTACACAGTGATGACCACCCGCTTCCACCTGCGCAGAAATATCGGCTACTTCGTGATCCAGACGTACCTGCCGTGCATCATGACCGTGCTCCTTTCCCAGGTCTCCTTCTGGCTCAACCGCGAGGCGGTGCCAGCACGCACTGTGTTCGGTAATACAGCAGCGGAGACGCTGGCATTGATAGCTTCTGCTGCGTTACAAAAACACACATGGTGATGATAACAATTATTTGTTTTTTTCAGAGCACCCCCCTTTATGTTGGGGTCAGAGCGCTCTATATGCAATAAGCGCCATACATATCAACAACTTTGAATGGGCACCCTCAGTGGTAGTTGTCCCCAGGCACCTGTCCTGCAAACGTGCATTAGGATGCCAGTAGGGACGATGATTACTTTGTGGTCGAGCCTATTTCATCCCTTTAACGTCCACTTTGAAGCAGACGGTACATACTTTTTATGGTTAATACACCCACAGTGATAACCAGGGTGGCCATGCAATGTGCATTGTATTGTATTTTGGAGATCGTCGTCAATCATGATGTCAAGTCGCAGTGATTTCCTGCTGAAATGAACAATGATACATTTGTGCTAATCTCCTGTTTATAGCCATGACCAGTGGCAGAAATTTGATATTCCTATGGCAGAGACGAGAGGATTATAGCTTTAGTTAAAAACAATAATACTTAAATCAAGTTTTAATAACATTGTTTAAAATTAGGGTTAGATTATAAATAATCGAATATTGCACAATTTAGATGTAAGGTTGAAATCAGAAATATATTGCATATTACTGCTTTAGGGGTGAAGTGATGGCAAAGTGGTTGACGCACCACGTTGTGAACCCAGCTGAGTTTGATCCTGCTCACGGCTAATATCAGTGGTGAGTGATAACTGAACTGGTCCTGGGCACATCTCCCTCCATCAACCCGCACTGATCAGCGTGGTGAAGTATGGTCAAGCAACTTCCATGACTGCCATGGTGTGGGGAGGATTTCATCCAGCAGTTGATAAAGGAAGGGCTGTCAATTATAATTTAATCCGAATTGCATAAACTATTTTGTAACATTGCGGTTATTTATACATTTACCACGCGAAAACACTCGCCTATCACAAAAGGACTCCTGCAAGTGTGATGCATAAACATGATATGACAGCTCATGATTGGCATTGTGGGTTTTTTGTTGGGCACCACCAGAAGCCATACACTAAGAGATAACAAAACAACTTGTCAGACAATACGCTCTTATCTGTCACGTCCACGTAAACAACTAAAGTATTTTTGACATTTTATTTTTTACCTACGTGACTACCGAATAGAACCAGAGTATTTTTGACATCCCATCAGAATTATTTTTTGCAGCAGATTTTTAAACTAGCAAACTGGACCAGTTTTGTCTTACCAGTCAGGCATGCTTGAACTAATGCTGGTGAACTGCTCGAGGTTTCTCCAGATCTTCCAGTTTTTCCCTCCACATTCAGAAAGATACATTGAGATTATTTTGGTGCTATAAATGTCCAAATGTTGGGTCACTTTGTTGAGCTATCATTTGTGGTAGCCAGGTCACTTCTGAAAAATAAGTTAATACCCTGTATACGTGTGAGTAATTTCTTTACCTTTCTTGTACTTTGCACTACTATCATGTTTTTGTACCGTTTGTTGTTGTAACGTTCTTACCCGCCCCTACTGGACATCTGTGAAAAAGAGCTTTATAGCTCATCGAATTTCTCCAGTATAAATAAATATTCTGATGATTGCTTATAGGTATGAATCTTCTCTATAAGATATGGGTCCTAGTTGCACACAAAGTGGAGAAGTTAAGCTCTCGAGTGAGTCTGATTACTGGGTCAGTGGCCATCATCTTTCCCTCCAAATTGCATATTTAAATTAAGATGAACCTCACAAAAACGGAGTCATGTCTCATTTGGGAATGACCCTGAAGTTTGTCTGAGCACAACTTCCAGACATTTTGTGGTATCTAGATGGCACCATTGCAACACATCCATTGGATAAGCCCCAGGGCTGGCCCAAGCACACTAAATGAAATAATGAAATATTCATAATTGGTTTTCATTGCATTTATTAGTTATTAAGCTGAGAGCCAACTTGCATGCAAATATGGCGTCTACCTCAGGTTGGGATCTGCCTTAGTATAATGGTCACAGCAAACTGGACATGCAAAGCAGAGGACACCGGTTTGATTCCATCTCCAGGTGCGACAGTTGAAACAATTCAACCCCCCATCATCACCTCTGTCCACCCAGCAGAAAAATGGGTTCACAGTCAATCGGCAAGTCGTGTGTGATGGGGTTAAATGTGGTACACTCACCTCTTCAAAAGTGGAAGAGGAGATCAATTACCCTCTAGTGGAGGCTCTTCTGGAGGTGATTGACTTGCTGAGCGTTTGCATTTTTCTGCTCTTCTAAGGTGTCACCACAGTGCTCACCATGACGACGCTCAGCATCAGCGCACGCAACTCCTTGCCCAAGGTGGCGTATGCGACGGCAATGGACTGGTTCATCGCCGTATGCTATGCCTTCGTCTTCTCAGCGCTCATCGAGTTCGCCACCGTCAACTACTTCACCAAGAGAGCCTGGGCCTGGAATGGGAAATTTCCTGCGCCATCGAAGGTGCATAGGGAGGGACACGGGGAGGGACATGGGGAGTCACACGAGGAGTGACATGAGGAGGGACACCAGGAGTGACGGGACTGCAGGGATGAGGGTGTGTGGACAGTAAGAGGTGTGCGCGAGAGGGGAGCATGTGGTGTTAGGGAGGTGGATGTGAGGGGTGGGTGGGATGTTAGTGAGGTGTGTAAAGGTTGGGTGGGGTGTTTAGGAGTGAGGTGTATGTGGAGTGTCAGTGAGGTGTGTGTGAGCAGTGGATGGTATTGATGAGTGGTGTTAAGATTTGTCCTGAGTGATCATTTGAGTCAGGGCTTATGCCTTTACATACCTGTACCTAATCTGATTTATGTTATTTGGCTGCATCATTGCAGAAAAAGGACGCGGTGACTTTGATCAAAAAGCGCAAAAACGCCTATACCACAGGCCTGTGTCCCGCGGGCCACCGCACGCTGCTGGCCAGGGAGGCAGCTCTGCTCAGCGTCTCTCAGAAGGTCGTGCTGCACCACGGACAACATGACAGCAGACCCCTCGACTACAAGAAAACCTACAACAGCGTGAGCAAGATTGACAAGCTCTCCCGCATCGTGTTTCCCATCCTTTTTGGAATCTTCAACCTGGTGTACTGGGCCACGTACCTGAACCGTGAGACTCATGCAAGTGGTGCGTTGCCTTAGGGTGCATGAAGCAGCCAGGGACTGCGAAGAGTGGTAACAGGTCACACGCGCTTGAGAGAGATGACAAAACCACTGTATCCAATACACCTAAATAGTAAATTTGTGATTGATGTGTAGAAATTCAGAAAACATGAGGTTTTTTAATTTTAATATTGGAAAAATGCTCATGCAAACATGTTTTATATTTTTTGTTATCATGTAAAATGTTATACTTTTTTTTAGTGGGAAGGGCCCAATGAGCTGTTAGGCTCTATTTCATGGGCATTCTGAGATGGTACAGATGTTGTACAGTACAGATCTTAGTTACAATCATGGCTACAAAGGTCGTGTTACAAACAGCAAGTATCGGTACATGCATGTTTCAGAAATAGGGAACTGGTATAAAACGTTAAAAAACATAAAAAAGTATGATTACAGCATTTTATGAACAGAAATAATCGGAAAACAATGTAATTTAGCAAAGCGGACATCGAAGTGTCTTTTACGCGATTGTACTGTAAGGTATTCATATGACTGTGGCTGTGTCTTTAGCTCCGTCTTGTAGAAATGTTCGTCAGTGATTATCTGCAAGCTGGCGGCTAGCACAGGCCTTTCCTCTGTTGCAAGAAATTAGCAGTGTCTTTACGATAAGTATAATACTTTCCACATATTGCTGTTGCGCTTATCAAAAGAAAACGTCTTGTTTTACAAAGCTGTCAACATGCAAACGTAGTGTCCCAGCTTTATGTGCACTAAAGCATTTGAAACAAGTTCACCCTCACCATCTTTAATGTTCTGCTTCGACTCGCCCCCAAATGTTCTTTCCCCTATAATCTCACTCTCCTTTCCTTCGTGTGCTCTGCTCCAGTAAGATAGACCTCTACTCTATAGACAGTTGCTTCTTTGGTGTTACTTGCATAGTCTGGAACTCACCTCCTTGGCTGTCCATTCTATTCTAGTTCAAGATAATCTGTCTCTTCTCTGTGCCCATGTGTATCCTTGCACTCCTTGCCCTGTACCCTCGTTGCTCCACTCCCTCTTAAAAATAAACAGGGATATATGCATGGTCCTTCCAATTGCACAGCATCTTATGCCAGTCCCATTTATATGCTACAGAAATACTAGGGTTGCCGTGATACGTAATATATGTTGTACAATAAAAGAGCCATTAAAATCATATTGTCCGTTTTGAAAAATATTTTAATCATGATTTTTTAAATATTGTATTTACTGAAATAGTATTTCTATAATACAGGTTTTTTGGATTAGATCGCGTATATATAAATGTGTCGTTAATCCCGCCACCACCCAACACAGCCAATTAGTAAGGTTTGTCACGTAAACAGAACATTGCAATTCGTTGCTAGTACAGCACACTGGTGTGTTGGAGAAAAAATCCACAACATTTACAATCTGAGTACGACGTTTCGCCAGTAATTACAATCTGCATCATTGTAATTACAAGATAGATGTGATGTCACTTGTGACCCCTTCTTGTGCGAAGTAGGGGGGGATTATTGAATGCATATAAATTACAGTTGGTATCCATTAAACAATGTGCATGCACATTATTGCATGCACTTTGTTCTGGTACCTCCTGTCGTTTGTGTGCACTAAAATAGCAGTATCTATTGTCTGCTCTTAGGTTATCTCCATTGATGTGTAGTGACGTAAATGGTGTCATTAGGGTGTTCGTGCCAGCTGCTGTTACAGGAGTGCAGCTGTGCGTCTGGAGCCTCTCTCTAGCACTAGAGTGGGTACGGCATGTCAGCCAGCCCTAGGGGGCGTGGTTCTGGTGGTGGCCTGAGTGAACCCAGGAGGGCGCGTGATGGCCGGCTGAGATCCTACGGGAAAGGTCTCGAAGGGGGCGTGGCTGAAGGCGGAGCGAGGCCACTTGTATACGGCCCTTTTTCCACAATATCAATATTTGCCGATATTTTTTTTAAATAGTAACCGAAATAATGAATGAAGACACACAAACCAGACTCTCAGCAAACACAGATGGAGGTCGTGAAAAGGCCATTAAAAAAATAATAAATTCCGTGGTCCTCCCCACACACACAACGGGGCGCCAGGAGATAGACCATAAAAGGTAATATACCAAATCAGAGGAGACGGGGGGGGGGGGGGGAACACTCCAAGAAATTCCAGAGTAACGCCAACGAGTTAAACAGTTGCCTCTTATTTTGCTATTAAACAACGGTTACAAAGTTCAAAATTCAACAACAAGAATAAGATAACATCGATCCACACACCCACTCCAATTAAAAACCAGGCCATAATCTACATCAGTGAATCATTACCCATTTATTTATTCGATACTAAATTATTATCACCTTTAATACTCATACTGTTAAATCACAAATCTTGGGAACAAAACATACAGAGCCACATCAAGGGTTATCGAGAAGGAATGAGGCGAACGGGCAAACTTACGAAACGAGTTTAAACTATTCCAAGAGACCCCGACCGCCTTTGTCTTCCCGCAGCACGGGGGAGCAGGAATTACACCTTATCGCAAGGGCCATCTGTGCAGCGGATATACGGGACTTAATGAGAAAACACACAAACACCACAACCCCATAACACCCTTCGAGATCAAAGGGGGAAGGGGCCGGAAAGGAATCTCTCTTGCCGAGCAGCGTCCAGGACGGCGAAAAACCAGACAGACAGCATTTGATTATTTTTAATTAACGGAAAGTCCAAAGAAAACTTGACAACAAGAATAAGCTGACATAGGAATAATCTCGGGAAACATAAACCAAAAATAATAATGATGAGGGTTAAACCGAGAGCAGCCAGAGAGAGAGACTCCCGGCCGTCTTTGTCTTCCCGCAGCGCGGGAGAGAAAGGAATTTAACACCAGAGCGAGATTAAAGGGATTTCCCTGACAGCTTCCAGTCAGCGAAGCCAAGCAAACAAGTAATTAACAGCGAAGCCCGGTCACAATACATAGTTTCATACATAACATTAATGTTAACGTTATTCACTGTAAACTATATTCCGTTTATATAACCTTGCAAACACCAAGGAATACGAATTCCCAGGATCAAGAAACATACCTCTTAACCCAGGATATCAGAAATAAAATGATATAAATGATAAGCATACACACGGAATGACGAAATTAATGAAAACTGAGGAAGGGCGAGGATAACGGGGTGAATCACAACCTTGTTGAACATAAAACCAAATGATATTTGAGCGATGTTAAACCAAGGGCCAGGGAAAGAGAGAGCCTCCCGGCCGTCTTCGTCTTCCGGCAGCACGTGAGAAGAACATGCATATGCTCAAGAGAGCATCATAGCCTCGTGAAAATAAAAAGCAGATACCGGGAGTCACAGACAAAATTCTAACTGCGAGTGGTACGGTACCAAAAACTATGATGGAATAAATGTTAACTTTAAAAACCTTAAAATCCTTTGTGCGTCGGAAAATATCATACAAGGGAGGGAAATCGCCCCTCCCTCCAGATTGTATAACACAGACAGAGGGACGCCTTCGGGACTATTTTGAAGCATCTGTTTCTTTTTGATGGTTTATGGCTCGAGGAAGCCAACAACGGAACTATGCCATAAATGACACACACATGCACACAGACACGCACACCCCAACCCCACGACACACAGCTAGATCAAAAGGGAGCTCCGCCCTCGTAAGGAGGAGGAGCCAAGGGGAGAGATTTTGTTGTAAAAAGAATTCAACATCAGCCAGCGGACAGCTCATCGACCAGCGCACCAGCTCAGCAACCAGCAGCTCCTCATCAGCAGCAGAAGAAGATGGCGACCATCAGAAGAACAGCCCTACCGACGCAGAAGGAGTCTCTACGACTCGCCTGAATGGCAAGACTCGCTAGTTAGCTACGTGCTAGGTCATGCGAATTCAACATCATCAGAAGATTTCGATTTCAAACTTTCGTGACTGCAAGGATTCATCTTCTTTGGTTCTTTCGGTAAAGTCACGTAGAATGAGAATAAAATAATAAATTAATAAAACAAAATAACACAATAAAATTCTCACGACGTTTCGGCCACAACACAAGTGGCCTTCATCAGGTGAAGGGACGAGACTGTCTGGAGGACAACGCTGGAGCGAACACAGCCAAGCTCAGACCGCGACCTTTATGCTGTGTGAGAAGAAACAAGAGCGCCTTGACAAAGGAATTAGCATATAAATTAGCATTTAATTGGCGGACTTAGCATGATGAACGGTGTAGAGGGGGTGAACATGTGCAGACCGGCGAGGGGGGGAGGGGGAGTTTACATATTGATGGTGTGAAAAAGGAATTTAAGCTGCTGCGAAAGTTTGGGATACCACTACTTGAAAAAATATACTGTACCATTGAAAATTAGTTTAATGTTCAGTTCGGATAATTTAGCATTGAAATAGCTGCGTGATTAGCTTGTGACTGGTCACAGAAATGGCTATGTTAAAGTCAAAGCCTACACATCCACAAAGGCACCTAGTACCAATCAAACAGGAGAATTTAGCATTGAAATAACTGAGTGATTAGCTTGTGACTGGTCAAAGAAATAGCTATGTTAAAGTCAAAGCCTACACATCCACAGAGGCACCTAGTACAAATCAAACAGGATAATTTAGCATTGAAATAGCTGAGTGATTAGCTTGTGACTGGTCACAGAAATGGCTATGTTAAAGTCAAAGCCTACACATCCACAGAGGCACCTAGTATAAATCAAACAGGAGAATTTAGCATTGAAATAACTGAGGGATTAACTTGTGACTGGTCATAGAAATAGCTATGTTAAAGTCAAAGCCTACACATCTACATAGGCACCTAGTACATGGACGCCAAAGGGGGCTGCAACAACTCGACTATCATATAGTAAACCGATGTGAAAAAAACCAAGTCTAAATTACATCAATATAATAAATGTACTCAATATATTCTTCAATAAGCTGAGCTATTAACAGTTACTGGGTATACACTACACTATATAATGAATACCATATAGTAAACCAATAAAAAATATATAAACTACCTCAATGTTATCAATAAACTCTATATATTCTCCAATCAGCTAAGCTACCAACAATAAGTCGTTATTTATCACAATGCTATATGGCGAAAAAATGGGTGGATTCTTGCCCTCAACTTTAGCACCACGGATAGCTACGAGCCCCGTTCAGACGGACGAGTTCATCCATGGTCGGAACGGAATAGGGGGAGAGAGACAGCTGCGAGGCGCTGTTATACTCCATGTTGTAAACCATACCATTAACCGTGGTGTGAGAGGTATTAAGAGTCAATGCCAGCGAAAGAGCTGCGGTCTGAAGGTCATCGTAAAATACAATTAATTAAGAACCGAAATGGTTTAAAACATCTTTCCAATGGTTACTAAGCCAGAATCCATCTTCTCGGTTGAAATTGTCTCTGTGCTTGTATATGTGAATTGCCTCATGAACGAATCTCTCCTGGTAGCCGGTTGGTTTGCAAAGAACCTCTGTCTTGGAGAAGTCAATGTCATGTGAGCCCACTGAATTATAACAGTGGTCTGCCACGGCAGAGGAGTTCGTTCTACCGTGTTTCAAGTCTGCTTTATGTTCGCGGATGCGGTCTGAGATATGTCGTTTGGTTTCTCCAATGCAGCTACTACCACAGAGGCACTTTAGTTTGTAAACGCCCGGGTACTGTATGTCTGGAACAGCATCTTTTACAGATGGAACCAGATCACGGATTTTATGTACAGTGTTGAATCGGACCTGGATCTTGTGTTTATTCAGGATTTTGGAGATCTTTTTAGTGACCCCTGAAATGTAGGGTAAGGTGATGGTTTTGAGTGGCTCCACAAGAGGATCTTTCACCTTTCTGAAGAGATGCCGCGACTCTAAGGTAATACCAACCGCATTTACACTAACCTCTGCTGCTGCTGCAACTTCTCTCAATGCAAAACGAATTCTAGCTAGAACTAGCTTCGCTATTATCTCGGAAAAAATCAGACGTACACGCACCGAACTCGATCAGTTAGACAAGACACTCTACAAATCACACTTAACATTGACAGCAACAATGTCTACATCGGATTGGGAACATGTAGACAATATGACTACCTCTTCGGCTGCCACTATGTCGACCAAATGTAGGGACAATTTGATTTCCAAATTCAATCACCTCTCCAACAAAAAATCGGATCCACACCCCGAAAAGATAGACGT